AAAAGTGCTAAGAAGTAATTTTCTTTCACAAAGCGTTTATACAAATTAAAATCATTTTGTACACGAATGGTTGGTTGCGTGTAATAACGAGGAATAACGCGAAAGTATATATCACTAGAGCTACTGGAGGAATTTTTCAGAGAGGCTAGCTTTTTCACGATGTAAATCCTGGCGAATGCAAAATTGCGTTTATTCCCGGGGTTCCCGTTAGATGATTTTTTTCCTCATCAGCGACAAAAGCCATGGGCTGCATTACCATGGGAATTCAGTGTTGAATAAAACTCCGAAACTCTGTGGCGAGATCTGTCGCGACCTGAATAAATTGAATTCATTTTGTCGCAGAGCAGAAATGCGACCAATCAAAGTAGAATATATTTCTATTTATATTTATATTTCACATAATTACGTAAAAAATTTTCACATGCGTTCCAAACATCAAATGGTTTGACTGAAAAAATTATGATCAAAGATATAAAACTAAAATTAAAATATTGAGTAAAATATTTTTACTAACTAAAGTATTTTTACTAACTAAATATTTAGCATTGAGAAAAGAATGTATAATTATGCAATATTTATTACATTATTTTTTATTTTTATTTTATTATTATATTAACGTTTTTTATACTAACGAAAGTACACATGTTTTTGATTTTTTTGAAATAATCTTTATATCAATTTTATACGACGAATTTTAAAAGTGGTGAAAAGAACTGCATTTCATAATAGACGGGACCAAATTGCTCTATTTCATCTAAAATTTATGAAACAGCGGTAAATTCATTCATAATTTAATTCTTGCAAACTATTGCTTTTAAGGGAGCTGTTTTTGTATATTTTAGCAGGAAAAAGAATTTTTATTTTCTAAAATAATATAAATGGTATAAATAACTTTAGCCATTGTTATTTTATTTATCAAAAATGATCATAGAAGTAGTAAACAGTCTCGTGGATTGCGAAACGTCGAAAATTGTTCCGTTCAGTGCCAGCCAGCAAATAATGTCGAAGGTATCGCTACTTTTTCCTATCCAGTTTATATCCTTCGAGTGCCTCCTGATAGGACACCGAACACGAAAGTAATAAAACGTCAGACTTATATATACGTTTTACCGATCGTCTACCGATGGCACGATGCATGTGAGAAATATTTGTAGATACGTGTACGCTATAAATGATACAAAAAATTCCATGTGTGCGCAGGGAAACAAATTTTTTTCTGACGGCGAAATGTCGAGTGTCGCATGAGATTTACTCGCCGCAACAAGTTCAATATTTCCGTTCACGTGACTACATATGCAATCAAAACGATGTTCATTTTGCAACGGATTGCATATGATGTCGCAATATTCATCTGTTTCTTATAAAAGTATCGAGCAATTGAATTACACGAAAAATTAAGAATTTTCCATGAATTTAACTGCAAAAATGCACGAATAATAAAATCAGCAGAAATTCAAGTTTTTCATACGAATTATGATACATTGATTTTCTATATAGCGAAAGATGGTATTGTATAACATAGGTAATGCTTTTAAAATGATTGTTTTCCGATAAAAAGTGTATTGATATTATAAAACTCTTTTCTGTCAGTTACAACAATCACATATGTAGGAAAATAAAAGAGCTGAATAGTGGGTATTGATGTTGGAGCAGCTATATGCTTATTCGCAATCTAATATACAAATTGCATCGTTATTTTTTATAAAATGTGATACGGACGTCAAGAGGCAACAAAGTATATCAAAAACATGAAAAGACAGCTGATGGATCGAGGATCGCGTTATTTCTTATCTATCTCTTTGGTTTTGATATTCCAGCATTATATTCACCATTACATCCTTTCTGCCTGCGATAGTTGTCTGCTTCTATTTTCCGACGCACATTTTATTTCCTTGCTATTCAGCTGCCCACTAACGTCCCTTTACTTTCCGCTTTCTGTCCCATCTGTTCTCATCTCTATTCTCGTCATGCCACTCCGTTTGACATTTTTTCTTCCTTTCTCCTTAGCCAGACATTGCTGTTGAATTGAAAGAAAATCGATTGTTGAGACATTAAAGAATAATATGCTTTCTCTGTCCTTATTTTCTCTTTTGTTTCTTTAAGTTTTATTAATCGGAGATAGTTTAGGTAGATTATTTAATGTCAAGATATTGTTGATATTGGCTTTATGTCTAAAAAGCGTAACATTAAACTAAAAAAAAATCAACATTCTTACTAAGAACATATTGATCTCAACTAGCCAAAGAAAATTGTGATTAAAAGAACATATATACAGTGGAAAACCTCCTATACACGAGAGCAAACGTATTTGTTCTGCGCTAACGATCAAGAGATCTTTTTGGTTCTTATATTTTACTTTTATCGCTACAATCTTTTCGCGTATTCTTGTTACTCGCTTCTATCTTTTAACGTGCGTTTTATTTCTTCTCGATTTAACTGCTCGTTAACTGGGCTTGCTACAGAACGAAATACGATTGAATTGAAAACGGAATCGATAGTACGAATATTTAAAAGAAAAGGTAATATACGTACGATTTAAAAGAGAGAAGCAGGCGTAGGAACGATAGAATTTGATTTATTATAAGTGCGCTTTATATTGAAAATTGTTTCTATGGAGAGGAATGGTAAAGCAATACAAAAAATAATGAAAAAAGAGAACGTACATGTAAAGGGATAGAGAGAGAAGACAGATGAAGAAATAAAGAGAGAGGAGAAAGGGAGGAGGAGAGAGAGAGAGAGAGAGAGAGAGAGAGAGAGAGAGAGAGAGAGAGAGAGAGAGAGAGAGAGAGAGAGAGAGAGAGAGAGAGAGAGAGAGACGACGACGA